TAATTTATAAATGTTCCAGAAATTATGCGTGAAGATTTAACACCATGAAATCACGTTTAAAGAAAAAGAATTTTATGATCCCGTTGGTAGAATCATAAATAATGCCAAAAATTGGAAAAAAGAAATAAAAAATAATAAATAGTTCTTAAACTTACTGTTTGGAACATATTTAAAGTGTACTTGAGTTCATTAATAAAACTAAGGTAAAATGGTAATATTGATTTAATTATTTTATGCCAAATTAATAAAAAGAAAAAAATAATCTGGATCCTTTAAACGGATCCGGTATGGATCTTTAGGCTGGATCGGAAATGGATCTGTCGAATGCGTCCAGCATGGATCTTTGAAACGGATCCATCATGGATTTTAGAAACGGATCCGTCATGGATCTTAGAAACAGTTCCGACATGGATTTTTCAAATGGATCCTATGTTGATCATATATGGCGTGACGATTTTCCATCATACCCGGATAAAAATAATCCTGATCCTTTACACGGATCCGATATGGATCTTTTGGCTGGATCGTGAATGGATCTGTTGAATGGGTCCAGCATGGATCTTTGAAATGGATTCGTCATGGATTTTAGAAACGGATCCGTCATGGATCTTAGAAATAGATCCGACATGTATTTTTTAAATGGATCCTATGTTGATCATATATGACGTGACGATTTTCCATCATACCCGGATCAGATAGCCTGATTTATTTCTAATCAATCTTCAGGCAATTCTGATCCGCATCGGATCCAATCCACTAACTAATTTCCAGTCGGGAAGTAAGCTTAATTCGCGTACCAATGATTCCGTATCCTATCAAACAGCGGCCGGGAATGAAGCCCGAGTAGAAATTTTCTTAGTTATGGTCAGGCATATCCTAAAGCGAATTAGGTCCTAATATGGTTTTCCAAAATTTTGAAAAACCAAATGATTATCCATTGAGGTTCTCATAAGGACAGTCAAAATAGAGTCACCCTGAACAATTCTGAATTAGATCATCATTGGAAAAATTGGAGGATATTCCCGGTTGAGGTAAGTTTTTGGAGTTTCTCAGTCCGACCTTACAACATAATATTATTATTACAGTTTTTTAACCAACCTGGCTAGCGTTTGATTTCAACGACGAAAACCGAAATTAGTAATAAAGAGTGAAATTAAATTTCTAATAGTAATCATCCCTAATTTAACAGAGATAGATATTTAACAAATATTAGGTGTGGGGTTCTCATCCAAAGAGTGTTTGTGTGAACTGTAACATAAATAATACCGTGTTGGTACATCAAGATGTCCTCGGAAAATAATCCTGGGGCTGTGGAAAATAGTGAGGGGCAATTTTCTACAGAGGGTTTTGATTCCGAGGAATATGGGTTCCACATGCAACAACAGTACGAGTGAACCGAGAAACTACATTGGAAGAATGGGCATCGAGAGGGTGTCCAACAAAAGACGAATCATGGAAATTCGAGAGCGGAACCTTCCATGATGGACACAATAAATGCATTATTGCAACTAAATACAATAATGCTGGAAATGCTTCAACAGCAACAGCATAACAGCAGCGGGCGCAACCGCGAGTATGAAAGGTGATAGTGCAGCATGTTAAATGTGTTACCAGACTTTTTGAAAAATATCAATACGTTTAACGGCGGACAAGGTACTTTCAAACCGAAACAATGGTTGCAACAAATTGAAAGTACCGCAATGCTTCATTCCTGGCGAAGTAAGTTTGGAATCGGTAAGGAGTCATTTAAGAGAAGCAGCGAAATTTTGGTACAAGGCTGGAGCTTCACAAATAACTGATTGCAATAGTTTCAGCCAAGCTTTTAAGTAGACATTCGCACTGAAATGTAATAAAACTGACATGTGGAAAAGAATGCAGGAAAGGATGCAAATAAAACCGAAGCTATTATTTCCATGAAAAAGTGCATTTATGCAAGGAGTTGAAACTCGATTTTGATGAAACGAAAGGACAAGACCATTGAATTGTGGTCCAAGAAATTGAGCAGTTTTATTATGTCACGCAGTCATGCCGATGAAGATGAGCTTTATCGAGACATCGTACAATATTAATACTTTAGACGGTTCATAAGGGGATTCGCTACCATTGCAAGACCAATGACCGATCTTTTGAAGAAAGAAGACACTTTTATTTGGGGAACTGAGCAAGAACATGTGCTTGGCCTTATAAAAGGTGCGTTGGTAAATAGACTGGTTTTGTGTATTTACGATCCGTAGGCGAAAACGGAGCTTCATACGGATGCATGCAGTTTTGGATTAGGAGCAGCGCTTTGTCAGGAACAAGCAAACGGAAAGTTACAACCAATCGTGTAAATACAAATTTTGGTGACTACGTTATCACTTAGGAATTTGCATGGGTACCTGAGGGGTGTATAAGCAACGACGGGAGGTAGGTTCTAAACGGGGCGGGTCTGTTTGTACCGATGCTATTTAAACCAAATTTATCTTTTCGAAACAGAGCCACACCTCCCGCCGCTAAAACAAAACGGCTCCATATTCACTTCAGATGAGGAAAAAGCTCTCTGTCTCCAGTGCTCCCCATTTCCCAGCTCTGTTGATTTTACAGACTTTCACGAGTGAACCAACGTTACCTCCCAAAACTTCGTCCCAACTGTTTCCGACTTTGAACACCATCCGATCTCTGAAAAACAGAAAATCCCCCGGCATGGACCGAATTCTCAACGGTGTCCTAAAAGTTCTGCCATCAAAACACATAACCACACTCTGCAACATCACAAATGCATGTGGCTGCGCCATTTCCCTCCGGTCTGGGAAGAAGCCACCGTCATCTGTCTACAAAAAAGGAAACCCTCTCAGCTCTCCCCCAATCAAGTCCATTAGCCTGCTCAGCTTGCTGAACAAAGTAGTTGAATCTATCATTTTGGGCCGGCTTCTCGACTACGTGGAGAGAAACAACCTACTCCCTAACTTTCGACAGACAGCGCGGCACCGGCCATCAACTTCTCCGTGTTTCCGAACACTTCTCTGACAAGAGTTTAGCACGAAGGTCTCATCCCCAAACTTATCGCCCTCAACACTCCATATTTCCTAATCGGGGTTATCCGATACATCCTCTCTGACAGTATCTTCCGTGTCTGGATTTGGTTCTGCTTTACCCCACCTTTTCTGTTCAGGCATGCCGTCGCATCCCTCGATCGTCACAGCTCTCTACGCCGATGACATAGCCCTCATAAACTCCGCCCAAATCATTATCCAGTGCTCCGCAAAAATTAACAAGTTTCTACCCTTGCTACTAAATTGGTACCGAACATAGAAACTCTCCATTAACAAGGCCAAGTTGGAAGCAATTTGCTTTTCTCGTAGGACCCGAAAACCTCCTTTCATCATCGTTAACAAACATCGTACCAAACGGAACAAATAAGCAAAAGCACATTTTTGCCACCTGTGTCAAGGCCCTAGCAGCCTTTATCTCTCTCAAACCCTTCTTCTAAAACAGCTCCATCTCCCATCAAACAAAACTCCGTGCGTTCAACGCAATTAACAGAAAAATTTGCTCCTACGTCATCCCCATCTGGGACCATGCCGATTCCCATCGCCTACAAATTCTTCAAGGCACTTACATGAGTACTCTTTGTTCCGCACTCAACCATTGCTGGTTTATCAGAAACATCCAAATTCTGAAAGAAACTGGTCTACCTTCACCCCTCGAGGCTGCAGTTAGGTTCTCGGCTAATCTCCGGGTCACCCAAACCCGTCCATCTCGACACTTCCCGACTTCGCCCCTAAACAAAACGACCGTTTCAGAAGGCCATGCCACCTTCTACTCTGAGTTGTTTTCCGTCCGCTCATTTCTAGTTTCGTTTCTTTAACGCGAGTGCTCACTCAACTCATCCGAAGTGGGTCATCGATTCCCATTTCCGCCCAATGCTTCGTTCCTACACCCATTCCCCTTCCCGTTCCCAACCTCTTCCCATTTAACCTTTCCTAGGTGTATAACCTCCGGGTTGATCCCTCTACTCGAGGAGAGAGGGGTTGTAGTCGGTAGGCGCTTCAGGGGGTGTCTTAAGATTACCCCTCCTCCAGGAAAAATTAAATTTAAAGAGATTCAATTGTGATTCGATTTCAGTTTTTGTTTATATCAATGAACAATCAACCATTAAAATACCGAATAATTATAATTTACCAAAAACGTACATGAGCAAGTCACCGATATACTTCCAAAATTTTATTTAATTTTTTTGTAAGTCGATTTTAAACACAACAATAGTTGTGTTTTTTTTTCTGTGTAGTTTTATTTACTACTAACGTACGTATTGATAAGTCGTTCTTTAAAACAAATTTTCCAAAAATAGGCATAATCCCCATCTTCTTGTCTAAAGAATCTTGATATACATTGTTTGGAATTGAATATTATCTACGTTGGTATATACATTTCAATCAGTTACCCTTATTATTATGTAAATATTTTTAATTCATTTATGTTAACCGTTTTTTGTCTTTTATAAAATAATTTGGAGCATGATAATTTACAGTAAATACATGAAATTACTGGTTTCAAAGCAAACAACTTATAATTTATTGTTTGACCTAAAGATTAAATTAATAGCTTTAGCATTACGAGAAAAATAAGCTACTTGTGCACTCTTTCATGTCTCAGAAAACATGTTTACTATTTACATGCAGATAATGGTTTTTAATCTTATTTATTATTATTAAACGTGCAAATTTGTATTACTATTACTTATTGTGTACAAATAATGAACATTATCGTTGTTATTATTTAAATTTACGTTATGCATGAATAAACAGGGAAAAAATTACCAAATAAGTGAAACGAAAATTTCTCCTGCGCCACTTTACCTAGGCAAAGAACCAAAGGATAACTATAAAGAAATTTTACCTCGGGACACTCAGGCAGGGGTTCCTGGATTCCCTTAACTAAGAGAACTCGAAGTTCTCTAACAATAATAAAACATCAAAATTAAAAAACCACCAAGTAAAATTTACTAACAAAAAAGAATAAAGCTAGGATTACAAAGGCCCAATGAGGGGATCGGTGGTCAGTTCGTGTTAGAGTTTAATCCATCTGCAGCGGTCTCATCAAGGAAATGTAATTGGAGACGTTAGGAAAGGCTAGACTGGGTTTTTAAAGAGGCGGAAGACGGAAAACCCCCACAGAATGGTTACGGTGGGTTGCTAGGCAACACTTGGTTTAGTAGATGGGGCAGATAGAGTGCCTGGACCTCACCTCAGATAGATTAACAGAAACAATAACAGGAGCCGTCCAACCAATTAAGCAACATAAAAGAAAGATAAGTTGAGGATACCGTGGATAAAGAAGATTAGAAATGAAGATATATTATATATATAGAAACAGGAGTTAAGAGGAGCAGAGGTAGACCTAGATTAGATTATGTTCGCAAATAGCTAAGGATGTGGGATGTTCTAGTTTTAGGGAAATGCGAATATTATCTTAGGATAGAAAGGTGTGGAGGTGCGTGTCCAACCAGCCTTAGTTTGACGACCTTATGATGATGAGACTATATTTAATAAATTGCACCTAAGAAATTTTTCCTTTTTCTTTTAAAAGATTTTGTATTTTAAACATTTATAAGGCACGCTTGCTGGCCTTCTACATTTCCACTGACTACTGATGTGTTTCTTTCAGTCGCGCATCTTATGTTAGCGCCTTGAAAACGATCAGCATCTACATGGAGAAAGAGTACATTTTGACGTATGGAAGTAAATAAAACAATTGATTATCTAGAATATCAACTAATGTACATTTATTATTTTATTATTCAATTTCATAAAAAATAGCATACTGTTGAGTTAACATAAAAATGTGACTAAAAAACGAGAGAGNGTTTATAAAAATTTAATAATACTTAATTTTCAGTTATATTTAGACTTCTGTTAAAATTGCAAATCTGTGCGTGCTAAAAGAAAGCTGACGTTTCAGGTTTTAGCCGCTCTTAGTAGTTCGTTAGTACAAAGACCGGACTACGATACGAATTTTCGCCATACATCTATCCCGCTAAATGTCTAATGGGAGTATGTATACGACGCCGATCCGGCTATAATGCCGTATGGACGCCATCTGCCTTATAAGTCGTATGACGTAAAAAAACATCCTGGCTGCCGGGAACAGTAGCTAAATGGGGCTTGTACGCAATACGGTTAATTTGTCACTTAAATTTTGACGGTGTTACTATAACGATTTTATTTTCTTACGGCGAAAAATGCCGAACTACTACCGAAATTGTTACGACAGGCTTAAGCGATGCTTAAGTCAGGAACATCCTGTGCTTAAAGTTAACCATCTGTTTCGATTCTTAAGCGCGACTTAACTTGCGGTGCAAACCAATTTCGTCTTTTAAGAACTACTTAAAGCTAAGTAGTACTTATTTACGTCGGTGCAAACGGGCATCTCAGCATCTTGGTCAACAGATCAACAGTCATTTGGGAGTGGAAAGTTTGAAATCAGCGCGGAAACATAAATATGTGTACAGCGACGGACTTTCAGTATTCATTATTACTGTTTTACTAATTACTAATTGTTAATACTCACTCTCTAAGTACAAGACATAAGTACCTACTTAATTTTAAACAGAAATTATAGTAATTATATTAGTCTCGATCTGAGGGTGATATCTTGGAAGTCGAAACGCGCTTTGGGTTTCTTAATGCTTTGTAGGCCTAGGTATAGAAACTTTAATCCCATGGTATTTTTCTTGTTTCCCATATGCACGTATTAGGTATAGAATTTTTTGAACAAGCGTTAGTTGTACGGGTGGTTAGTTTCCAGAAAATATGAAAATAGGCGAATTAAATAAAACGAAAATGGTTACGTTAGGTTATCAAAAATTAAACAAAACATTTAGCTATGTGGGGAAATTCATTAATTAGAGATCAAAAGGGAGGAGAGATTCGGTATAATTTCACCAATAGACGTCTCCTTACGAGTGCTATCTCTTTCATGGTCCAATTTTGTATTTGACTAATATATGTGTATTATATTTATGCATAGTAACATTATTCCCTCCTATAAGTAACGTTAACAGCAATGGTGTAGCCCAGCATTTGTTAAAGAGGTAGGTCATCAAGGTAAAAAATGCTGAAAATCCACATTATGGAATCTATCTATAGATAGGTACAAATTGATGTATCTGGCTGTAATATCGAAATAGGAAAGAACTGTTATGTATTTCATATGGTTATTTGTATACAAACAACTCATACAATTTTTTGTCTGTTTGCGCCAATCCTTGAAACGGCTAAACTGATTTTAATGGGACTTTACATAAATGAAGAGAATGTTATCAGGAGTGATCTAGCCTAATTTTTATTTTTAACAGTTAATCAACATTGCAACAAACATCTTAACAGTACTACGTGGGGGCCTTTCTTTATGTGCGCCGTATTTGTAAATGTGTGTGTCGTTCGTACCTGCGTTCTGGGAAGGCAGTTCAAAGAAAAAATAAACTATCCGGATGCTTCCAGAAGGTAAACAAAAGAGTATTTAAAGGAAAAGACCATCGCCGAGAGGAGAATAAACAAATTGACCGTTGCAGAAGTTAATCGAGAAATAAATTGACAGTGATAGCAGTGAAATAAGTAGCGCAGTGAATAGCGATATATCAACAGTAGTGTAAATAAATAAAATAATTCATAACCTAAGTTTAGTAATAATTTAATAGTGTTTTTTCTTCTTTAATAATTAGTGTAAATAAACAACTTTTGTCGTTATCAGTCTTAGAAGTTAATTTTGTTAAACCCAGGATCATTACAGTACGATACAAGCTACGCTCGAGAATTGTAGGTTATACCGTTTTAAGAATGCAAGACGTAAGTCATAAATAACTTTGTATGATGCGTAGCGTAGGTACGTTACGATTTAATGGAAAACAATACACCAGTTTAGCAGCTTAGTAATAAAATGTATGTAATTCCGCGAAAGTTATTCACAACTAAGTTACTTATTTCTTTGACCTATATTTTTTCAACATTAACAATCGAATACCGAGTGCTTTATGCATATCTTTATGAGAAACTTCTGCGATACACGGATTAAATTAAATGATGGGCAGATTGCTACATTTTAATTCAATCTCAAATAAGTGCAAATGATAAACTGGAGAAAAAATATTCACTCAACTACAACTGTCGTATAATGAGGATATACTAGTGTTTTACAATCGTGCGCATGCTTATTTTGCTAATTATAAACATTTACTATGTATTAAATGTATTTGCTAATGGGAAAAGTTTGAAGAGCGCTTTACAATATTACGCGTCTACTTTAATATAAGAAAATAAAGCTTCCAGTTACCCAAATTATGTTGACACTAAAATGAGAATAAGAAAAAGCCCATTCAGTTAATTACTGTTTATTTGCCGATAGCATACAATATTTTCGCTTTGTAAAACACGCAATACTTCGTAACTTAAGCTATTAAAAATATTTGGTTGCTATGTATTTTATATTAGTTGTAGTAGTTCTAAAAGAACGTTGGGTATATTTTGTACTTTTTGTTCCCTGACAATAAAATGTCATTCGTTAAGAACCTCCATTTCGTACAATACTTGTTCAATATAAAAAAAGAACCGACTTACATAATCAATTAAACAGAAATAGAGCTAGCAAAAGCTCATACAAAAAAAATATTTATTTACTGTAATAAATGTAAGAAAATAAAGGAAAATCTGTTTCGTCAAAAAACTGCATGTATATTTGTTTCTCCAATTGTTTAAGGTTTAGTTTATTTCAGTTAATAAAAAAAATGACATTCTAAAATGTGATGCATATTCAAAAGATAAAACTTTTCAAATGCTTACAATAGGAAAGGTATTCATCTTCAATACTGATGCATTTATGAACTTAAAACTTAATGCTAAATAATGTTTAGTTATATGCTACATAGTAAATGCAAATTCACATGATGAACATATGTAACTAATGGATAGTATGTATAAAATATAAGCATGCAAAAATTACGTTCACAAAATTTGAAATAATTCGTAAAAATTCAAATTAAAACTAAAACTTAGGAAATATTAGCTTAACTAAAAAATGATGAGAAACTTCAGACTGTTACCAATTTAGTAGTTTCGATTATCCGTATTGTTGTGGACGCTGAAAAAAAAATAATTATTAGTAATTTCAAAAAGTGCAAGAAGCATTAACAGAAAAAATTAGTAGTTACATCTGTGGACAAATATAAAAAGCAAATGGCCTGGAAAAGAATGTTATTAAATTACAAAAAAAATGCATAAAACGAAAGTGTGTTTATTAACTACCTGATCGTGTGATAGATTACTTACTTATTAAACAAAGAGAAACGTACACATAAATTTTCTCGTTTACATAAACATATGTAGAACAAATTTTACTAACTTCGTAATAACTATCTTGAAATTTGGTATTACAATTTATTATTATGAAACGAAATGCTTAATGGTGAGTTTCTTATGATGCTTACGCTGCACCGTTTAGATTCCTGTCTGTTTGCCCTGGTTTAAATATTTTTGTGATTTTATTTGATTATTCAGGCAGACGCTAGGACAGTAATATTCCACAGATAATCTTTCACTTCATTCTTTGCGTCTTTTGTTTTCATGTCTCCTGTTTCATCTGTTTCAACCAAACGACCACCCACCACCCACCATCTCCCATGATTTTTAATATGAGACTTAAAAGGTTCTTTCGGTCTTCTCTTCAGCTTTGCTGTATGTGAATGAATGTCGGAAGGGACTGCCTGCCCACCAACATTAGCAGCCGGTAGGAATGAAACGCGCAAGTTTATTTTTATGGAAGTACATGAGCAGTTTTATTTTTATTGATGTGAGAACTAAATCAATTCTTGCCAAAGATAACGTACGTTTGATGCATAATAGGAAACCGTACCCTAAAACATCGATTTTGTTTAAATTGTCCTATATATTGTTGTATATGTTTAAGTTATTGGTCAGCAAATATCACTAGATAAACTGTCAGTGATCTGATATTAAAATAATGGAAATCGACACTGAAACATCCCTTTGTAGGGTTTATTCATACAGTACTTAATTGTGAAATATTATACCGTCAGTTTCCTTCTGTAAAGTAATATAGAAGCAACACACATATTTGTTTCATTCCTATAAGAAGTAATTCTTCAACATTTTGAGCACATTACATCACATATAATACAGCAATCATAATAAACCATATAAATCACATATTCAATTTAATAAAAAAAAAACATAGACAAAGGTTATTACTGTAAAAATTTAGTTTTAAAAATGNATTCTTCAACATTTTGAGCACATTACATCACATATAATACAGCAATCATAATAAACCATATAAATCACATATTCAATTTAATAAAAAAAAAACATAGACAAAGGTTATTACTGTAAAAATTTAGTTTTAAAAATGCCATCGACAGAATACAAAAGCAAAACTCTTAATCGTTTTTACCATTTTTCCTTAAGTAACAGTTGTACCTCTATGGTTGTCCGAATGTCACAAGATTTAGGCTGCAATTATTATTGCATTATATTAACAACAAGCATATTTGTTTATTACAAGAATTCTTTTCACGAACATGTATCACAAACATTCCTGTTATACATCAAATTTATGGTAATGGCGATTGAATTATCCTCGAAGAGGGCAGATGAGTTTGTGGGAGGATTAGTGATTCCTTGTTACCAAACGTAGAACAACAAAATCACTAGTCTTCCACACAACACCACCTATTGTTAGTAGCAATACAGAAGGGCTCTAAACCTGATTAGTTTCTTCAGACGTAGCAGTTATTTACAGCTTCTCTTCCACCAAACCATCAACTGTTAGTAAAGAAAATGCGTGCGACGAAATAAAGGATGAACCATTGTTAACAGATGACAAATTGTACATAAAATGAATGAAATAATCTTCAAATGTATCAAATTGAAAGTATTTGAGAAAATATTTTCATTAAACATCAAACACATTAAGTGATACATATAAAGTTGAGTGCTTAATAGTCTTACATTTTAAAAGTAGACACTCCATTTAAAAATAATCTCCACCGCATCAAGCGCACGATGGTTCACGGTTGAGGGTGTGCATGATCGTTGGCGCAACTTAAAAATTGACAAAACATAAGTAACATAAAAGTAGTTTTGTTAAAAAAAAAATAAGTAAAAACTGATTAAATTGTATATACAAAAAGTAAAAATAATTCGTTTAACTTGTTATCATTGTAAATTATTAATATTAAATTCTCTCATTCTGTCAATTCAAAAACCGCGCTCAATAATCATGACTGTTGTTCGCGTCCAATCGAACGTATTTAAAATGAAACTATCTGCCAGCACAATAATCATTGATAGAAGTAGCTCCTTAGTTAAATTCGGAGTGGCTACTTTAGAGTGTGACCTCAACTTTAACCATATCACTTTTTATTCCATAACTGAATAAAATGTATTGCAGTAGTTTCCTATTTATAATAGGAATATCATTACATTTTACGTATAACATTCGAGCTGCCGTTTATTTTATTTGTCAAGAAAAAAGTAATTAATGAAATGTATCTACATAGAACTATATTACATTTAAAAATGTTGAGCATTCAAGCTTTTATTTTTTATTTTTGGACCGTTAAAACAAACCCACTCGACAGAAGACTGTGAAGAAAGAATACATTTTTCTTACCTTTGTTGTAGAAGATATTGTGCCATTTGAATCTGATTCGGCGACCCAGTTATAGTAATAATGCGGTCATTTGACCCTGGAAGTGGTTCGTCTATAGTTATTCCGGCACCAGAATCCGCCCGTATTTTTCGTATTCTTCCTCCCCCTTTACCAATTATTGCTCCAGCTAACTAATAAAAGAAGTTTCTGACATTAATACATTAAGTAACAATCTTTTATACAGCTCTTAAAAAAAATGTAACAACGCCTAAATTCTTTAATGACGTCTAGATGTAGGTAATCGTATTTATGAATAGAAATATTTCATATTTTACAATGAATATTAACTCACGGTCAATGTTAAAATTGACTTACGTCTTTCGGAATGGTGACTTGTGTGGAATTTTTACCAGGGCCGTTTGGCGGCATGCCGCCACCTATTGGCGGTGGTTGGTTCATCCTTCCGCTACTCATTCGACCACCTGCACCTGCCATTAAACTCCCGGAATGGGGTTGGTTTCCACTTCCTCCACCACCCACAGATCCTCCGGGACGATTCATTGGAGAGTTCCAAGTCGAATTTCTTCCAAATCCACCTCCGCTACTACCGCCGCTTCCAGGCATATCATTGCCTCGTGATGGTGGTAAATTGAATCCACGATCATTACCTCCTCCGAAACCCCTAGAAGATGGAGGAGGACCACCCATATTACCACCACGGGGATTAAATCTACTGAAACAAAACCAAACAAACTTTAATCGAAAGTAAACATAATTCTAAATTTATTCAATGTTTTAATATTATCAAATATGTGTGTACAGACCAATTTAATACTATCAAATATTAAATGCTTCCTGAAAAAATTGACATCTCTTTTTAGTATGATAGAAATTTTTTCGAAAGTGTACAGACCAATTTATAAAATTACAATTTATCTATTTACATCCTATTCCAATAATTCTTGAATTTAATAATAGGTTTTCAACGAGCAATCTTACCCTCCACCCATATTTCCACCTCTTCCACCGAAGCCTCCTCCTCTTGGAGGGGGTCCACCATTTCCGCGACCACCAAAATCACCACTTCTCATGTTTCTATTACCCATATTCGACGGTGGTCCCCTATTACCACTCCCACCGGCTCTACCTCCACCACGTGGACCACCCCCTCCTCCACCTCCACCGCCAGGACCTTGGCGGGTCCCTCCTGCATTTCCTCCACCGAACCCTCCATATTCTTCTGAGTAAAATTCATCAAAATTGTGAGGATCATAAGGATTTACAGCACCTTTTATTGGATTCTAAAATAGATTTAAAATGTGTGATAAACGAACATCATGTCCTATGAACGAGAAAGCTCTTACCGATTTAAGTAGAAGAAGTATTTCTTTTATTGTATCAATACATTTATCCGGTGATCCTATGATTTGAATGACTCGGTCAGTACTTTGAGGAGCGCAATTGGAAAAAATTTTTATCCTTGTACCGATTTGCTGAAAATGAAAAATGACTTCATTACAAAATTTTAGATTTTTTTAAGTATTTTTTTTTCTACTTCCTTAATTAAAACATAACAACAAATTAATATTCTTTTAAATATATGTTCTTTTGTTGTGACAACTTACTGTTGCTGTTTTGCTCTTTAAATTTATGACAATTACTAATTAGGAGTTGTAATTTACATAAAATATTAAGGTTTTAATCTGCAGATCGACAGTAGCTGATGGAAGAATTAACCCTATTTGAGTTTGCTCCTATTAATTTGTGTACTTAGAAATTGATTTTGTTAATTTCTTTAATACAATTGTAAAAGTTTCCGAGATAGCATAAAGTACACAAACAATACACTTGGGAGGACAGGGAATTTTACCATTTATGAACCAAGAAGTAGTGCTGACCTATATCGACTCGGAGTTTAGCTGTTATTTTATTTTTATACATACGATTTATTTACATTGAATATTCGAACACGATAAACTATAAAATATTCTCTGCGGGGAGTTTTAGAATAAAATAACGTTTTTTAAATTTGTCAAAGTTATAACTGTTTTAAACAACTTTTCAAGCATAAAAAAAAGTAAGTTTAGGATCCCGTTAGCGCATTCATTCATAGATTAGGAGTTTTTTCAACCGATTAAGTCCGCCCTATCTGACTATCGGTTTTTGAAAGATTCAATGCTTCTATTTTAGCGGTTCACGTGGTACGGTGCGGCGTCAGTCGATTTTTACCCTATATCGATTGCGCCGGAAGGGTCCGACAGACGTTACCGTCGCGCCAATGTGACTCCACACGCGACTCAACGGGAAGTATGAATATGACTAACTTGAAAATACATACGAATACATTTTCCTTTTGCTGTCATTTAACAAACAGGTGCAATGAATAAATGTATGTTTATTACCGTAAATATGAACAAATTGGCAAGTATGTGCATGGGAAGTATCTACAGTATTTTCACCTTACTTTTCTCGATTACTTTTGAAGTTAAAACGGCGTTTCGAAATGTACATATTATTAATACGATTAAAACTAAAATGCAGATTTTAAAAATGTAAAAATGCAGGATATAGCATTTATGAAACACCGTGTATAATCATCCAGGACATCATAGGAAAATCACAAAATCCCCTACAGGATATACAATTACTATTTGATACGTTTTTTTAACTATAAAAATAACGGTGAAGAGTGGATACGAGTACGTGAATTTAATAAGAAGACCCTTACCTTGTACCCTTATCCAACGAGATGTTATGATGAGTTCAAAATTATTTGCCGTGTATGACAAAAGGACAAAAAAGTGGGAGCTACCGGAGCATATTTCAGTGAAAAATATTTTTCTCTAAGTAGGTTAAAATGTGAAAAATATTTAAAATTAATTTTTTTTTCTGGTTTAAAAGGGGCTGCAGATAAATAGCCGCAACGTATTAATAAAAAATAAAAAATTGAAACTGTTGCCTTTAAATTACAACATTTTATTATAACTTTATAAATGTAAAAAAATATATAACTTTAACAACATAAACATGTATAACAACAGATGAAAATATAAGTAAAGCTATGATTTGTAAGGAAACACAAATGTAATTCTCTGTTGTTATTTATTTTCTATCATTCCGTATATTTATTATTGAGGCTGTCGTTAAATTGAAATATTGTGTACATACCATTTCAACTTGTTCAACTACCCTTAACTTCAATTTTAATTAACTTAAATGTTCTTTGTACTGTTACCAATATTTACTGACATTATCGATATGTCGAATAAGATTGCATGTAATATCGTTTAGATAGCAATTTACTGCAAATTGCGTTTACCACGCTGTTTGTAGTAATTCAATATTGTTTATATTCCCAGATTTCTAATTTGTCCTTTCTTTTATTTACAGCAATTTAATAAAAAAATGTTACGGCTATGTTGGGCTGGGTTACCTTTGTGTTTCATTAAAAATACACGTTTCTTCTGTACTTATATTGTCTGACATCGGGATCTGTGGATTACACTACTAATGATGCCATTCACATTTTTTCATATTCAACCATATTTCGTTTATAAAAATTTAGAAAAAGATTGAGTGAGTACAGTAATATGTGAATATAAGAAATTATTGAATTTTTGTCAGTATATACGTATGTATTTGCTGTAAAAATGTATGTCAAGCGTGAGTTTAACTTGACCGTTTCTACATCTTTAAAAACATTATTGAAAGAAACTGTAAAATTATAAATCAAGACATTAAATTTCCGGATTTTGTAAATTTAATAAATTCGGAATAATCTTTATTTTCGCGTAGTTTTCAGAACATTTTCTAAAATGTTATGTTTAGAATTACGAAAAACATATTTCTGCATTCCTAGAGAGAAAGCTGTTCAAATTCTATCTCACATTATATTTAAAATAAAAAACATTTGTCTCCTCTTTAATTTGGATAAGAATATTTTTAAAATGTGTATTATCCAAATCACAGGTTGTAGTTTACCATTTCATTCAGTAATAATAAGAATCAAAAAAATGTTTACAATTTTCAATTTATTAGTATTTATTAGTAAGTAGCTTTGGGCCACAAATCATCCACTAACAAGAACTCCAGTCCTCTTCAAAAATCCACAATTAAATAAACAAGCGGGCGTTAATTCAAGCTCGAACGATAGAGAACACTAAAAATAAATTTCTATCGTTTCCCTTGTTTCATTCATTAATAATAATCTCCTTTACAACTGATATGAATAGACAACGTTGAAAGCAACAATAATAGTTACGAAATTTTTCTTCGAAATCAATATTTAGTACAATGTGCTATAAATGCGAGTGTTGTTTGCCAGATTTAAATTAGGGCCGAAGTCAGATTGTGTAATCAGGATGGGCGCAAAGAAAAAACAGAACAGGCTGAATTTTTCGATAACTACATACAATGGTTTCGTTTTTCTTAATGTGCTTAGTGTTAATTAATTCTTGATCCTTGTTGCATGAACAAAACTTAATACATAATTTATTACAAACTAGTTAATAAACAATTTAAAAAGGTAGTTAAGATCACTTATGATACCTTTTTCTTCATGTATTGAAAGTCCAAATCGATTTAGCCGATAAGACGACAGATAAATACTTTTTTCAGGGTTTTTAGTGTCTTAAAAAAATACCAAAATCAATGCGAGTTTAAAAAACTACAACGTGTAATTATACAACATGCTACTGAAGTGAAACTTCTTCAAACACACAAACATACAGGGATAGGAGTTAAGGAATTGGCATCAATGGCGTCGTTTCGACTGTAGAGTGTAGGAACACACACACACAAACACATACAAATACCTCGAATTATTTTATTCGATTATGGTAACGTGCCTATCACGTTCAGGTTAGCTACGCCAGGATTCATTTCAAGTAGATATCCATATATTTAAATGGACCTTGTTGGAGCATACGTAATTCTAAAATGTAGCATCGTACTACAGATGGCGTTTACCGCGCTATTTGTGGTATTTTCTAAAACGCAGTGTTCAGACAGCAGGTAAAAGTTGGTCTGTGTTCTGTCGGAGCTGCCTGCGACGCGTTGATGAGATCCAAAAAGATCGAAATCGAAATCGCAGTTTCGACAGAATACAGACCAGTTCGAATTATTTTACATACAAATACATTCATACATTTTATTAGGGCTACACTATACATGCCGGAGTTGCCTGTAACGAACGTTCCATTGAAGCGCGCTTACGGCTCAAGCGATCTACGAACTCGACTACGTGGCCGAGTAGAGGGGGGACATCCGTTGCATAATTTCGTTACATAGCAACTCGCATGAAACGAACTTACCCTACAGTGCGTAAAGAAGTTTCACTTCAAAAAGACAGTTATTTCGATATTAGGCCTAGCGCGCATTGCAATTTTTTTGGTCAATGTAAGGTACGTGTGGCTTCTGTGACGCTTATGTTGCAACTGACTAATAAAGCTGCGATTGCTTAGTCGCAAGTGTGTGCATCGTTTTCAGTTCCAGGCCCGCGACTTTTCAGTTGCGGCGACTACAAAATCGCAGTGTGCGCTAGGCCTTATTCCAGATAAACGCTAGTATGCAACAGCACCAATTACGTTCCATTTTGCGACACTCATAGTGACACTGCACCCGAAAATCTCTTGCAATCTTAGGCTATCGGCTAAGTATGTTCAAAAATTTTCAAAGTAGGATCAGTTTACCAGACACAATAACCTTTATAATTCATACTAGATTTTACCAGCGACTTCGTTCGCGTTGATGTCCTAAATACGTGTCAAGACGACTACGTAAAAACTAATTTTTCTATCTCCGGAACAGTGTTTTTTTCTGGATGAAAGGTACCCTAGGTCCTTTTCTGTGACTGACAATGTGTACAAAATTTTATGATGATTTATTAACTGTTTAAGGCGTGAAATCGACCACACAAAACTAATTTTTCTGTCTCTCGGGAACAGTACTTTTTTTGTGAATGTCTTTTTCTGTACCCATGACAATGTGTCTACAAAATTTCATAATGGCCGATTGAGTGGTTAAAGCGTGAATTCGACTGTATAAGACTGTTTTATTTTTCTATTCCTCGGGAACAGTATTTTAAATTTTTAAATAATTTACTTTACATTGAAAAGAAATTAATGAACATGGAAAGTTCAGAGGACTATGTAGGTCGAAAGGATACTTTTTGAAGTATAGTATTTTTGTTCTAAATTGCTTTTTGTTAATTTATAATTTTATCAAGAATTTATAATGTTCTATAGGGTATACGTGCCTATCACTAAGACAGGCGGCTGTAGGTCCTGTTTGACAGGTCAATTTCCTTAATTGAAAAGGGCTTTATCAAACATTCATGATTTCAATAAGTAGCAAATTTATACAAATGGCATTCACCATACCGTCTATAGCTATCCGTTGAACGCTGTTTAATGACAGCAAGTAGGTAAGTATGTCGGTGTTTTGTCGAAATTTGTATACGGCGTGCTGATGTGTACCAAAGAGTTCAAATTGCTATCATTTTTGACAATTGCCACAGATCACTCACCAAAACAGTGTAGAAGAATTAGCATACTGCGAAAAATATCTACATGGAGATTGTGATACCCAGAAAAAGAAAGTTGTTTAACATTGGAAGATTAATATTTGGTGGATTTTGAAAAGATTGCCAATAATCTTTTCGCCTTTCGCATTTTTTTTCAAAATTCAGTAAATATTCATCTTCAATTTTAGATACATTCTTTTTTTAGACATCGCAATCTCCATACTGATTTTTTTTTGTTTAGGTTGCAGTTTGTGTATCGGGGTAAAGTCTAATTCTCCTACACGAAGAACTTGTTATGATATTGCAATTGAAATAATCCAATAAAAAACTGTTAAAAATTATTGTAATTCACTTACATCTCTGATTTCCTTTATTTTACTTCCACCTTTTCCGATGACACATCCTGCTTGGCTCTGATGAATCATCATTCGCAAGTCTAAATCTTCCCCATTTCCCATACGACTTCCATTCTGCAAAAAAATCAGTTAATGCAATGTTGGGGTTAAACACGCTCACACAATTCAAAACAACCACAAAAACGGATAATTGTTACAATCAGAAGAATTCGTACGCATTCGGATTAGGGTTCGATTCTCGACCGATGCAAAATATATTTTTTAAATTTATTTACCTGCCTTAATGGCAACATAAATAAAAAGTTTTTTTTTTTGTGTACATACGTGAAACAGTACCTTTTGAATTATGTGTCTGATTGTCCTGTTATTATTGTAAATACCAAAATAAAAACATAATTTACAAAAAAGAAGTATTGGATTAATGAATATAAAATTAATCGTATTCATCTCGTTTGCGATTTCAATGCTTTATTATCCGTCGTTTGTACGTATTGAAAGATAATGATTTTATATTACTGAACCTACTGTTTGTTTCGCTGCGCTACGCTGTAATTGTCTATTAATTATTGTCAAAGATCCTACATTATTACGGTTATCATCAATCGAAAAGAAGACGATAGTTGCTTTCAAGAACAATGCCATTAAAGAATTCAATGAAAATTGTAAATAATTTTATTTATTGTAGATACTAATTTAAAGGGCTACACGTTTCCCTAAATAGTACTGTTACCTGTCTTAAACAAAATCGGACAAGGGCTCAGACAACTTAGATAGTCAATATTATTATTCTACATTTTTAATTAATTATCATAAGGTTGTCAATCCTAAAGGTGGCTTCACACGGCTCTTATTGGCACAACCCTGATATCGCACTACGGACCGGGCTTGACCGCGCGTGAGCTCTTTCCAAGGCTTATATGAGCCTGTCTCCACGAGTTTAAACGAGCTACAATTAACTGCAAGATTTAGATTGGGAAGTGAAAATAGAGTGTCAAGGTATTCGGAAGAAGAAGAAAAGAATTTATGCAGATTATGTAAAAAGGAGCCAGAGAGGTTTGAACACATGAGCGATGTAGAGAAACAGGAAATTCTACAAAAAATTGGAAAACTAAAGTGGAAGAAATGTATAACCTGAAAAGGATGAGAGAAATCTTGTGGAAGAGGAAAATAGCAGGACAAGAATAATAAAAACCGCACCTTTGTACTTCGTATATATAAAACATATTGTTTTAATAACGCTCATTATAATATTTTACTAAAATTTATTTTTAGTGCATTAAAAAAGGTACAGGCCACATGCTGGAAGCTGGCGGAAATTTTAAAATGGCGTGGATGAGCGGTGGCAAAATTAGGCTGTTTTAGGTATAACGATTGCAGCCCTATTTCTTCACTATTACTATCAGGGGCGTAGATTAAATATTTAAAAATAGGGATCAGTGAGCAAATAATAGACAGACAAACAGAAGAACTAATTGTTGATGTTGGGGGCAGTGACAGAGATTCTTATGATGACAATGAATGTGAAAACTAACTATAAAACAAAAACAATAGGTTTATTTTTTATTTTTGGTAAGTTATGTTTCTACATTATTTTTTAGTACGTTACTGTCCTTTCTGTATTAATACTATAATTTATGCCTACTGAAAGCTTATTTGTGTATCGGTTCCAAGTGACTTTCCCAAATAGGTCATAAATGGGCAAGTACCTGCACGACCTCTCGCCAGCTTCCTTCGTCCGACCTGTACATGCATATCTATATCACACGTGAAGTCTATTAAGAATAACTTATTATGAATCATCATCAGAAGGTCGTTAGTCTTCAGACTGGTTGGATACGCACCTCCACTCCTTCCTATACTGAGTTAATCTTCGCATTTCCCTAAAACTAGAACAACCACATCCTTAACTATTTGCCTCTAATATGTCTCTGACTAGACCTTTATGCCTGAGAAGGTGTCCTACTAATCTATATCGCCTATTTCTTTTTCCATAGTTCTCCTATTATTTCTAACTTTCTCTATACACGGTATCGTCATCATTCGCCTGTAACACCACATTTCGAACGGTTCTAAACTTTATCTTTCCGCCGTACTCACCGAGTTTGAAGCTAGGGTTTAGTATTATTAAAATGTCGCACGAAGAAAAAAGAATGGCAATTGCTGCAGCAGCTTTTGTTTTGTTTAGTGGTTTATATTTACTCAACAAGAGAAAGAAGGGTTTGGTGGATGTCAACATCAAATAAAAACTGATTAAAGTGAAGTTTTATTTACTAAATTTTGAGTAATAGATATTTCTGTGCACGCCATCATGTGTTACCATCGTTATTTATTCCTTCTAGTATTTTAACGAAAGTTTGGAAATTATTATATATATTTTTTTTGCAAATGAAATAACATACTGTTGCCTGTTGTCTTGTGAAATCATAGATAACAGACGCCGTCATGGTGGACCAGGGCCAGTGGGCGCTATTGAAGCTACTGACTCGTGACGGATCGGATGCGCCACTTCGAGCAGCACCCTTCGCACAACGTAATGGAGCGAGCTGGCCCGGCCTGCGATTTTATGGACCGTGGGAAGTCACCTTTAGACCACTTTCACACAGCGCGATACTGACACGATTTACTGCATGCATGTATTTTTATTTATACTACATTTCCATTTCGCCAATTTTTGGACCTACCCTCGTATAAATACAAACACGACTGGTTCCTCAAAAATATAGACTTATAGAAAGATTAACTACTTATAAAACGTTGATTCGGGTTTCTCTTCAGTCGTGTTAGCGGAAACGCAAGACTGAAGATGAATGCATTCCTGAATCAAATCGGCCCTTGAATTATTGAGATGTTGTAGGAGAAACTCTAAAATCTGGCGCCCCTAGACCACGGGCTATACAGCTTTTACAGTCCATTAGCACTGGTAATAAATACATACTGTTAATAATATAATCGCAAAGATCGATACGATATCGTCAAGTACAATAAATTATATTGTGGAACATTTCCATTGTATTATTTAATCGATTAACTTTTTGCTGATTTTCAATTACCGATGACGGAAATAGCAGTCGTTGGTAGCATATTTGGTCGCGGTATGTGGTGCATTTTGTATGATTTATTGTCATGATACCATAATACAGGCAGAACTACTCCTACATTCTCTAATTGATGACGTCAATCTGTGACAAAAGCAACGGCAAAAATTGTCAAGCTTATTGTTTTTTAGTTCAAACTTAAACGTAAGCCTTAGAAAACCTAAGAAAATGTAATCATAGTTTAATTTCATGGCCAATTTGATATTAGGTGCTATTACCCAATTTTGATTTTAGCAGATCTAAATCAACACATTTTTCCTGAAGAATTTCTCAATTATATTCAACCCGAGGTTCCAAGTACATATTGTTGATGTTGCCATCTCCTATAAAACTACCCTGTAATAAATTTATATTATAAAATTGTACAAACATTTTGTGTTAAACATTCTGAGACCGGTGTTTTAGATTGTTGGGCAAATAAGATAATTCTAGTCGATTTAGAGTTTACAACATTTACCACAAAAAATATTCTCCAGAACAATTTTAAAAAATATGCTATCGAACCATTCGGGATGCTCGCGCGTAAGCAGTAGCTTTAGTGTTATAAATTTTTACTTTTTCTTTTTTTAACAACGGGCCTGGGGTTCAGCAGCTTTGCTCTTAGAGCTGCAACAGGAAAAGTAAAGACTGTAAAGTTCTATTAATGGGTTTCTGTTTGTAGTGACATTATGAATGCTTCTCATGATTTTTGCTTAAATTTTCTATACCAATACTCATACATTTAAAACAAATATTATGATGTATACGTTTAAGTACAGTATAATTTAAAATAAAAAGTATGTCATCAAAATTATTATTCTGTCACTGCAAATCACACAATATATTACATTAATGAAGTCAACCTCTCAACAAGACATTTAAAAATAGTTATTTAGTGAAATCTTCCATGCAATTTTGTTAGAAGGTATCTACATATATAGAATCATATTAACGATTTTCTTTTGGTTTATTAGAACTAGAACATCCCACATACTTAAGTATTTGCGAACACTAATCTAATCTACCTCTACCTCTACTCCTCTTAAGTCCTATTTATGCTTCTGATATGTCTCCGACTAGACCTTCATGCCTGAGGTGTCCTGACAACCTAACTCGTCTATTTTTTTATTGATATCTATAGTCTTCTGTTCTCCTATTCTTTCTAATACTTCTTCATTTCTAACCCTTTCAATCCAGGGTATCCTCATCATTCGCCAGTAACACCACATTTCGAACGCTTCTAACCTTCTTTTCAGCCGCAGCCGTACAGCGCCGCGCTCTAAACATACACCTTCAACAAACTTTTTCAAATTTCTAAATTAATCGCTCGCGAGCATAGAAGTGACTTCTTTTTATTAAAGGCGATAGGACCGTGCGCTATCCTGGGCTTTATATCCTTACTACTCCTTCCGTTCTGACTTACCTGACTTCCTAGATACCTAAAAACAGCCACTTCTAATATTTTGTCTCCTATCTTTATATTCGCTCTAACCCTACTTTTTCTTCCCTTGCATACCAGTATTTTTGTTTTACTTTTATATATTCATACAATACTGTTTTATCAACACCGTTTCCATTTTATTTAAATCTATCTCTAACTCTTCCTTGGTAGATGCTAATAGTGCTATATCCTCTGCAAATCTAAGCATACTAATCTGCCCCTGTATACCTATCCCTACAGTTGTACTGTCTTTAATGATGTTGAGGGCGTCTTCGATGTACAGATTAAAAACTAGCGGTGATTGTATATCCTTGTCTGACTCCCTTCCTATAGTCGCTGGTTGAATATTATGATAAAAAAATTCCGAATTTTAATGAATGGTTAAGCAAGATCACTTTGCTGCAGTAACAATCTAACAATAGATATTCGTCATCCAATAGATAAATAAAAACATCTCAGAATTGATGTAATTTAGTGTAGATAAATAGCACATACACTGTTTATTTTAAAATTGCAATGATGTTTTTAAGAATAACTTTATTTTAATGTATTTTGGAGAAGTTTAGGTGCACAAATTAATGTACTAAAGATAAACATTTGGGTAGATGTTTGTTTGTTGGCATGAATTATTATGTAGCTTATTCTAAATGAGCGTTTTTCATGTTGCTACATGTGTGTTGAAAGTATTGTGTGTACCCACTGCCAAGTTTGTCAATTTCATAAAATCGCTGCCAATGAAATTACTTACAGAAACCAAATAAAATATTTATGTGCAACTTAACAATCGACTTAAAAACAGTTGAACAGTAGAATTAAAAGATAAAGGAAAGGAGAACTGATACTTAGCGGCACAGGCTTTTAACAGATTTTAAAAAAGGTTCTTAATTCCTTTGTATTTTCCTTTGTGTGTATGTTATGTTATTTCTATGCCAACTACAAATCAGTCTTGACGATTCATCTTTTATTGGATAGGTTATATTTCAAGGGTAGCTCTGTTTAAAATTGAGAAAATATTCCGTCTGTAACGGTGGAAAATCGGGGGATGACAAAACGAATACTTGAAGAGATTACGCAATCCCGATTGGTAATTAGTTCAGAGAACCCGGATTATGATCAGATGCGGATCAGATTTTCCGTAATACGAGTATCTGATCAGAGTACAGTACTCTATCCGCTGATCCACCGATCTGAACAGAAATTGATCAGCGCACAGTACTCTATCTGTTGATCCAATCACCTGATCAGAAATTGATCATAGTAGAGTATCCTATACCTTTATCCAGTCATCTGGCTAATTTCTTATCACAATCTAATGCTACAAATTCTATTACGGTTTCGGTACAATCTTTAGGTCAAGATTGTATCCGATGTTCTGAACTGGATCATAATACAGAACTTTATTTTTTTTACCTAATTTATTCTGTATGGAATATTGTTCGTCAAACAAACGGATCCATCATGGATCTTAGAAACAGATCCGACATTGATTTTTCAAATGGATCCTATATTGATCATACATGGCGTGACGATTTTCCATCCATACCCGGATCAGAAAGCCTGATTTATTTCTGATCAATCTTCAGGCAATTCTGATCCGCATCGGATCCAATCCACTAACTAATTTCCAGTCGGGATTTCGTCATTTCCGCCTGATTTATTCCACATTGTGTATAGTATACAGGTGGTCATATTCGAATTTGTTGACTTTTGGTTTAAGATTTGCGTAGAGGCAAAGTATTGAAGTCGGTTTTTATACGTGATTGTACATATTTTAATTATGTATTATAAATCAATAAATGTGCGCACACATATTACCAGATGTTGGTAATTTATTTGTACAGAAGTAAATTAAAAGAATATACGAACAAACAGCCTTACCTCTTCCAAACAGGGAATAACATCGTTGATTATATTGCAAACCGTTTCCATATCTGAAGACAGTGTCAGCATTCTGAAAGAAGGTTGAATATGAATAATAAATTAAAAAATAATATTGATCACCAAGGGTTACCAAAGACAAATACTACTTGCATAATCTACATAAATTTTCACGTTTCACTCATGAAACCGAAAAACATTCAAAAGTTTTAAAAATTGATATTTGCACTTTTTCCTATTTTAACACTTTTGGATACATATTTGTGAAACACTGTATCTTCACGAACCAAGAAGTTCATGGTTGTCAGAGCGTTCTCTCGAAACTGCCAGACGCGGATCGCGATTTCGATCTCGTTGGATCTCATCAGTACGTCGTAAGCAATTTCGACAGAGCACAGACCAACTCTACCTGCTGCCTAGAGACAGCGTTTTATAAAGTACCACAAACGGCGTGGTGAATGCCATGTGTGACTCAGTGAACATATGGTAGCATTCAGTATGAACTTTGTTCAATTTAGTGGTAAGGGTGAGCTACACTGTGGATTTAGTTCAACAAGTAGATATCCGTCAACGTACAATATATTATATTTAATTTACTGAATGCCACTACATGTGCACTAAACCATAGATGGCGTTCACCACGCTGTCTGTAATACCTTACTTTTCCTTGAATTTAGCAAAGGGTAAATCTAATGTTGTACGATAACAGAGGATTTATGTATTTTCTGAAAACCTAAAAATAAGTAAGTACCGAAAGTACTTATATCATTTGAAAAACTTCAAGCTAATACAAGGAATATAACAACATTTTTATTACTCACTCATAAAGCAATCTTTAACTTTTTCGTTTGTAAAATTTTATGATGACGATGAATACATAGTATGTATTATGATTTATTTAACATTTACCCTTTTATACAAATAACTGGGTTGAAAATTAACTATAAGTGTATGGTAGGAACTATTACAAAAATGGTCCACCACGAATAAGGGTCAGTGATCTGTTTACCTTAAATCGAGGTTGAATAGTGTTCTTAGCGATGAAAAAGAAAAAAAAAGGTACTTAATATTTTTCACAGAAATAGTGACTGTTATTTTCTTCGTGGAAAACATACCTTTAATCTAAAAAAAGGTAAAAATTATTTAAACATTTTAAATCTAGCAGATAAAAATGAAGTGTTCCGTCGTTTTTTTGGATTACACATTAATTGTATCGACACTGGGTTGGACAACTCTTGTTTTAATAGTAATTATAATGTGGAGTGGCTGACATTATGGTTGGTCAACCTTTTTTTTTTATTGCTCGGAGGCAACTGATTTATAAAGGAATCTGCAGTCTTACATGTTACATAATAATTGTAACGACGTTTTTGATGTTGGTAAAAAAATCTAGAAAATAAAACGAAATAGTAAGGGAAATATTACTCCCTCAAGTAAGAAGAATTTGTTAATCGCTTCTGTAATTAAGGTGAGCATCAACTGAACCTTGATCTTTCTGTTTTTTATACAGCAATCGAAAGAGTTGACCACTTTTACACATGATTCGAAATTTTTACTATATATACTTTTCCAGATATTTAGTATTGAAAATATCAAAAATGCAACAGTTGGGTTAAAAGCATAGAAAGTGTATAATATTAAGTAAAATTTTCCTTATTGATGAACTTGACAAACTAAAAAATCAATCAAATTAATTATTTTAGAAAGCTTCAATACAATTGACCAGAAATTAATACAAAAATGATCAATAATATTAATATCGTAAAAATCTCATCTTTTGTCAATTTCATCAGATTACGAAACTGAGAAAATGTTACAAGCGCATCTTACATTCGAGGTTGTGGTTTAGGTTAGCTAACGAGAGAAAGGCTGGATTATATGTACATATGCTTTTCCCATGTGTTTTTATGGTAAAAATATTATTCTGTTTATTACAAAAAAAAAAGAATGTATGTGATTCAATTACTATTTCCCTTTTAACTTAATACACTTCTCATGCCATCAAAAATCCTTTAAAGGAGCAGAAGGGGCAAAACCCCATCATAAAGATTTAATGGTCTTATTTATTATTTGAGACAAATATTTCATTTGGTTTTTTTTATGAAGAACTTTCTCCATTCTTTCTGAAACGTTAAGCTTATTTTAAGTTACTTCTTTTTTCACAAAAGTAAAAATAAAATGTTTATGTGACAGATGTCTCTGATTTCAGTCACGATGGGTTGTGACGATCGAAGCTATATGTATATACCAATTGCATCAGGGCTATTATGTTATTTTATTTTTATTAGCGAAAGGAGATATATGAAGTTCATAATAGATTTTTTTTACTACCGCTATCGAGACAAAGCTTAACCAGTGTGAGTGGAGCTTTTTACAGGGAATTAACTGATTGTACCCAAGATTTTTAATTTTGAATTCCATACCAGACAAATGCAGTCGGTACTTTTAAACCACTGAAGATGCATTTATTATGAGAATATTACTAATAGGAATATCCTACATGAAAGAGGCGATTGCAATATCAATTATTTTTTATTCACTCAGAAGTCAATGCACTAAAATTTGCAAAATGTTCCTTACCAAAAACATTTAAAGCATTCGGGATAACACAATAAAAAATTTCTTTTATAAATCGATTTAAAATGACCACATTACTATTATTTTATTGTCTACGTCGTTAAAAAAATGTACGGAAACATTTGTATAAAAGTAGAAAAAGTAAATGCGTAATTTGATTATGACATGACATAAAATGCTAAGTTGAATCAACTTAACTGCAGATTACAGGGATAACTTTTATACATGTATTTTATTTCATTAAATAATGCAATTTTCATTACCCTGTATTACGTTTGTTATGAATACACACACACATTATATGTATGTATATACAATTATTATCAATAGTAGTATATCACAACTTTCATTTTTTAACAATTTTAACATTTAGGGATTTAGTAGTTTTAATAGGAACCTAGTTGCTCAGATCACCAGGGTGAGTTTACCCACAATTCTGTTGCACATTTCAAGAACATTTGAGGAATAAAAATTTACCACGCAATTTAAATCGCAAATAGGTCTTTACAGACTTCCCGATTCTTCTACATTAATAATTTTGTTGCAAATAACAGTTGAAGTTTTATTTACATATTTTTTACTTTAGTGCACTTGCCGCGATCATTTTTACAAAAATCCTAAGATAAAACCATGGTTTATTTAACCAACCTATTAGCTTAATTTGACAAATTTGTTTCACTACTAGCTACCATCATCAGGTGTATATAATAATGTAATAAATTTTTAGAATGTTTAAATGAGGTTATAGGGGAGTTTTCATCCGTACAGGAACAAGGAGTTTTTCGAATGTAGTTCTAGTGGATTATTTATTGACTAAATGAACATTTAAAGATTTTGCTATTTCAATTTGTAGGCTTTTCAATAAAGTAAGCTCTTTCTGTTTATTAGAAGTAAAACCTTAGCGTTTACAATACTTGTTGTGATTGGAATTTGAGCAGTGCTCGAAAAACTTTGTTTTGTGTTCTTTTAAACACGTATTTACTGCTCTCCCACTTTGACCCATGTATATAGATGACATGATATGATGATTCACAAAACAATTGATAAATACCGCTATTATGTTTAATATTGACGTTTGACATTGCAACCATCGAAACAAACAAATTATTAGACACTCCCAGAGTGAACTAATTTCCTATGCTAAGTTCTCATTGATAATATACCGAAGAGTTTTGGTAACAGACAGGTTTACATAAATTGATTTTTTAATGAAACATTAATTGGCATTGGGTAATCAGTCCGAAAACTGATTGTGACAGGCACCCCTTCACTTCTTCCTAAATAATTTCTCGAATACTATAGGGTTGTTCGGAAAGTCATTTCGTTTTTTCCCTACAGAGGATTTAATTGTATTCTTTTGCACCCAACTTCACATTTAAGCCGTATAATTTTTATATGCTTTGAGAGCTCATATAGCAAGGCTTGTGTGTGAAAAATTCCAATTAATTCTACGCAGTAGTTTTTGGTTGGTGCCCTTTTAAATATGGAGAGCGATAAGCAGCATTTTCGACATATCTTACTGTTTTACTACAGAAAGGGTAAAAATGCTGTTCAAGCCAGAAAGAAATTGACTGATGTGTATGGAGAAGGTGTGTTGACAGTACGCCAGTGCCAGAACTGGTTCGCTAAATTTCGATCCGGCAATTTTGATGTCGAAGATGCACCACGTTCGGGAAGGCCGGTTGAAGCTGATAAAGACGCGATAAAGGCATTAGTTGATGTGAACCGGCGAATAACAACACGTGAGATCGGATTGAGGTTAAATTTATCAAATTCAACAGTTTATGACCACTTGAAAGGCCTGGGATTATCCTCGAAGCTCGATGTATGGGTTCCCCATGTTCTCACAGAGAGAAATCTGTGTCGCCGCATTGACGTCTGCGATTCGCTTCTCAAACGTCACGAAAATGATCCGTTTTTGAAGCGCATCATCACTGGGGACGAAAAATGGGTTGTATACAACAACGTCAAACGCAAGAGGTCATGGAGCAAAAAAGATGAACCGGCTCAAACCATTTCCAAAGCCGATATTCACCAAAAAAAGGTGATGCTGTCTGTTTGGTGGGATTTTAAAGGAATCGTTTTTTTTGAGCTTTTACCGGATAACACAACGATTAATTCGGAAGTCTACTGTCATCAGCTGGACAAACTGAATGATGCACTTCAACAGAAAAGGTCAGAACTAATCAACAGGAAAGGTGTAGTGTTTCACCAAGACAACGCGAGACCTCACACAAGTTTGGTCACTCGCCAAAAGCTTTTACAGCTTGAATGGGATACAATGCTACACCCACCATATTCTCCAGACCTGGCACCATCGGATTATTATTTGTTCCGGTCACTCCAAAATTTTTTAGACGGTAAAACCTTCACCTCAAATGAGGAGGTCAAAAACCTCCTCGATCAGTTTTTTGCCAGCAAAGACCAAAAATTTTATGAGCGTGGAATTATGCTACTACCAGAAAGATGGCAAAAGGTGTTGGACCAGAACGGTCAATATATAATTTAATAAAGTATTTGTTTATTATACGAAAACTGTCTTTCATTTCCACAAAAAAAAAACGAAATGACTTTCAGAACAACCCTATAGAACCAGGGCAACCTACATCTCTATTTTCGAACACTAAATCTAATGTTGGTCTACCAATGCTCTTCTTTACTTCTACTCGTGCTTCTAATTTGTCTCTAACTAACCCTTCATATCCTATTATCCTGTCTCACCGCTTCTTAATTTACTTCGATGGCTTTCTTTGCTCTCCTACTCTTTCTAATTTTTTAACAAGGGCAAAAGTTTACCTTCTTATATTGTGTTTTTAAATAAATCTTTTGTTAGTATTTTTTCAATCATATCTCAATTTTGAGGTATAGTTTGTGCTCTCAACTCATTCCTATTTTTCAAAATAAAAACTGGAGTACACGCTTATTAAGAGCTTGAGTTTGCGCTACTGTTTATTTATCAAATTAAAATTTATTGTTGAGTACCTACCCAGTAAAAGGGTGCTTGAGAGCTTGTGCTTATGGGAGACGTAAGTATATATTCCTGACATAATTACATTGATGACGTATCCTGCATCTAGTTGGGTACTAAAAGACAATTAGATATGTTTTTAAAATCCATAATTCAATAGATAATATTAACTCTGAACAATGATTTTAACCCTTTCATAAATTCTGTTAAAGCGCTAAAACAAAAAGTTATATCCAAAATTTATACAATCATCTGGAAATAAAAATATAATAAAAAATACTGTATTGTATCTAGAATGTGCATTGTAAATTAAAAAGCATAAACATTTATGCCATTGAAACTAATAGTAAAACTATAGTCTCTCACCTCAAAATGACATTAATGATATTTAAACCATTTATCAATAATTGTTTTGTGAATCGTGTGATGATGCCTACATTTAGGTACAGGTCAAAGTAGGAGAACAATAAATACATGTTTAAAAGAACATACAAGCAGAAATCCAGTATTAAGTAGAATGATAAAAAGCAGGGTTTTCCGAGCACTGATGATATGCCAATCGATATTATAAAAACTAAAGTCCTAAAGTCTAATGTTAATACAGTAAAGAACACTTCATTGGAAAACCTGGAATATAAAAAAGTATAGTCTCTAAACCTTCATTCAGTCCAAAAAATCACTTTGTCAACTTGCTTTGTAAATATTAGAGCAACTTACAAACAAACTTTTTCACAAATTTTTTTCCCAAATAACTCGTCGATTATCTTGAAAAATTCCCCATTTCGAAGATTTCTTGTCTACCTCGAAAACAACAAAAATGTAAAAAGTTTAGTACTTAATGATATATTTTTGATAATGGTAGTTACTACCCAAACAAATTTGGCGAGTAAGACTAATAGTTTTATTTTAAAAATTTTGTATTATTTTCAAAATATACTAATACTAATGAATATTTAAGCTAAAAGTAAAGCAAAAATCATCTAAAGTGACGTCTGCAGTAACAAATCATTCATAACTCCAAATACTTTAGTTATTTGCAGAAGTAGTTCAGGAAAGTTTACATAGACTCACAAGCGCCATCACGGAGCTTTTATTCCTATAAAACAAATGCACTAAAACACGTTTGTAAATGTTATGAGTTTAATCTGCAGCATATTTAAGTATTCTCCATTCTGTTCTGGAATATAACTAATAAATAATTGATAATCATAATGTAATCAATAACAAACGGTTGAGATACGTATATGACACATCTTTAAGGATGTTTGGGAGGTACAATCGGAGACAAGAGTACATAAAATTAGAAATTCGTGATGACATAGGTTTTGCAGCATAAATAAATACTATCTATACCAAAGAAAAGTATACGGTTTGAGAGAAAATTTGGAATTTGACCAAAAACTTCGAAAAAATAACGAATATGAAAAATTTTTAACTGACTTTTGGTAGTGAATATGCCTTGATTTCAACTTCGAAACAAAAAATATTTAGTTTCAATATCTATCATAATGAGCGTATAACTTTTTAATATGTTTAAATAATAATTAAAACTTTAAAATTGCATTTATTTCAGACAATTATAAATATTATCATTATATTATCAAGTAAAAACGAGATTTTCAGCTAATTTTTCATTTTTTCCTCGATAACCATTTAGTGAATTTGAATAACCTTACGCTAAAGTGATTCT